TTTCAAAATAAAGATATATATAATTCAACATCTAATTTGTTTCTATACTTCCCAGTTTACAATAGTAATAATCTAGAAAAGAGATATACAATTTATCTATACTCATCAGTAATATATATCATTCACGCCTTAAAAGTTTTATTCTTTTTTTTCTCTCTCTCTCACTCTCATTATTTAATCTACCATAATGGCAATTGTAGTTGTTTCAATGAAAAAGCTCAATTCAATCCAAACTGATTATTTGAATTGATTATATTCATTTCATGAATTGTAAAGAATATTCTAGGAAAGAATGATATATATATATAGACTTTAATAAAACAATAATACATAGGTATATGGGAGGAAACGAAGATAGTCAATTTATTCCAAAAATAAATTGTATTCTCAAATCAATATTGGTCGTAAATTTAACCAACCAAAAATTAGACATACAATAATAATTACCTAAACAAAGTACCTAGTTAAATAATAAACAGATAATAACATTGATAGTTCTTTAATCTTCATTTTAGGAATCTTTTTTTATTGTTTCTAATATGAATATATTTTCAGAAGAAAAGAAGTTTGAAGTTGATTATGATTCCTAATCATATAATCTTGACTACAAAAAAGTTATGTTTAGTGGATATAATGCTACTAAAATCTATCATTTTCAGGTATTCATAGTTCTTATGTCATAAACCATGGAAAAAGTATGAAATAAAATTATACCATTTTATTATTATGTTATTCAGTTAGAATTCACTTTGTAATTTCATGAACATTATGATTTAATGTGTGACTATCTTCTAGTGTCATCATTTGAAATGCTCATCTTCTAACCAGTAAGTCACGAATTAGAGAATCCATCTTCTCCTACCTTAGTACACACATCCAAATCATGTCATCCATTTGTCATATGTAAACAAGTGACGCTCAGAGTAGAGCACACAAACTTGTATTTGATAGGTGTTATGATATGGAATGTCTGATTTTGATCCTGCTACACAACCGTCTTGTACGCAAGCCTAACTGGTTCCTTAAGCGTAAAGCTGATAGTAAGAAGGAATTTTGTCAGCTAAATTAATATATATTCCTTAGAACAATAAGTTACTAATGATGTACATTTCATCCCTTAGAAGTACAGGCTATTTCTTGGTCAATCATGTGCACTTATCGTTTAGCCAATTTTATCAAATTTTGGATACAGCTGGAAGTGTTAAGTTGGTAGTAAATCAGTAAATAAGTTATCTTATTATTATTCATTGAATATACTTTCATAAAATATTAACATATGAACTATGTTGATTGACATAAGTAACAAGAAAACAATAACTTAATAAGTAAGTATCAATACCAAAGTTTGACTGGATAGTTTCGAATAAATTCAGCATTGAGTAGATTGTTATAAACAAAACTAATATATTTGTAATATCTCAATGAGCACAAAAACTAGATTTTCTGACGTTTCGTGACTTAATGTAAGCCACTTCTCCAGAGAATAAATAACCAGATCAAATTTAATCCAAGTTTAAATAGTACAAAGGAACAGCGTTAGAATATTATGTGCAATCACTCAAAAAAACAGGTCTGAACAAGTCAATGTCATGTCATTTCGGTCAAGGTGATTTAAGAGCGACATTTATGTACATTTGTGCGTGTGTATGTGTGCACGGTGTTGCTGTTCTTTTTTACTATTTAAACTTGGTTGAAATTTGATCTGGTTATTTATTTGTTCTCTGAAGAAGTGGCTTACACTAAGTCACGAAACGTCAGAAAATCGAATTTTTCTTCTCATTGGGATATTATTTATTTATGATGATCTACCCAATGCTCAATTTATTCGAAATGATCAAGTTAAACCTTGGTAATGATACCAATATGCAAAAACTAAGTAATTTTCTTAACAAATTACTATTATTTACGATCTCGTTTCCTTCATAGTTTAAAACGTTCAACAGTAGTATATAACAATCTACATTGAAGTGTATGATTTTATTGTTTGTTTTTGTATTCTTTTAATTTATTCTTTTGTTTTAAACTCTCAGTTTAATCAAATTAACCAAAAGTATGTCAGTATATTATCCGTAAATATACTAAGGAGCTTTATAGTTGATGAGAAATTCTAAAACTGGTTGAATTGAGTTTATGCCATAAATTTTGTAATGTTTCTTCTATAATAAACAACCCTTTTAATAGACTGAGCTTACAGAAAGTTTTTATGATGTTTGTAAATGATTGGTATAGTGTTGTAGAGATAATCAAGTTTTGATTGTGATCATGAACCGATCAATTTTAGAACATTATTGAAAACCTGGAAGCAGTGGACGGCTATTTCATCCTACTATTGGACACTTCAGGATTGCGTATCCACAAAAGACAATGGATGATGTTCACACATTATCGTGGATCGCTTGAAGTTAGACATTACCACCGTTGGATGATGGCTCAGTGGTCTAGAAGTTAGGCGTTCATGTGCGATATTAAAAATTTTGGGTTCAAGTCCCGTGCGCTTCTAGGTTTCCAACGGTGGTCTAACATCAACCGGCTCATGATCTCAATCAAAAACTCAATAATCTCCACAACCCCTATACTGGTAATAATGTAATTATAGGTGTATCATATAAACATTTAATATTACGTAATCTCACAATTTTTTGAGTGTTTTTTTCATGAATCGACCGAAGTTATACATTACCACGGTTGAATGCTGGCTCAATAGTGTAGATGTTAAGCGTTCGCTAGTCAGACCGGTGGTCCCGGGTTCGAGTCCCACTTGAGGGCTCGTGGATGCGCACTGCTTGGGAGTCACATGATAAGACGAAACAGCCATCTAGTCCTTCCAGGTTTTTTATGGTGATCTAGCTTAAATTGACTCATGAATTAAACTATTAAAATTGTTATTTCTGTGTGTTTTTCATGTCATTGACGTATTTCGTATTATGAAACATTGATTCTTATCACAACTAGTACACAAACTAGTTCATCATCACACTAGTAATTTGTGCTTTTTACTTATTTATAATCTATCCTACTGTTATCACTGACATATAAAATGCCTTGATTGGTTTAATAATAAGATAATAGGTCTCGGATTTTGGCGCGAAATTCAGTCATCCATTTGGTTAAATAGTTTTGGCATTATAGCTGGTCAAATTGTGATGAAAACCCGTGATTTAATTCCCAACCCTAAATCATAATTCTAATTCGTCACATTGGATTTTAACCCTCATTTAGCCCTAGTAAGAAGGTGGGCATTCTCAAGGTTACTAAGGCGTCGCTCAAATGTCGTCCATAAATTATAGTCTCACCAATAATTTAGTATGTGTACAAACATTACTGTATACTGGAGTAAAGTCAAATGAGGATCTAATCGGAAACAATATTGTTCGCTAATATATGTTGTTCTAATACACAATATGGGGATTTTTAAAACTTTATTGTCACGTGGGGATCCGATTGTATTCAGAAGTTATATAACTGTTCGTACAGTTTAGTGATTAACTAGAAGCAAATAGGTACCGACCAGAGTTTATGTGACGAGTCTATCTTTGGTATAACAGATTTTATACGCAAAAAATTAGTAAATAAATACGTAAACGCTTCCCTTCGTTGAATAGGATTTCGGAACACACATAGATCAATCCATAATATCAGAGATCCTAACTCTCCTCCATGTAAAAATCTGCATTTATTATTTAACTTCTTTTCAAAACATAATAAATGCATTTGAAGTCTACTCGACAACCAACCATAACAAATAAAAACGATGAATTAAGTCCACAAAATAGATCCGATATTTACATTGTAGCTAAGTGTGGGATCTGGGAGGTCATGTCGAAACAATCCCCTTATGGTGTACGGTTGCAACATAGATGAATTAATTGGATTCTTGAATCGCAACAATAGGAAACTGCAAATCAGTTCTAGTGAATCCTATTTGATATTTAAAATAGTTCTGGTTAATAAAAGAATGAATGAAATCCTGATCAGTAGATGATACGTAATGATACGATGTGGCCAATTGGTAAATAATCACTAGACTAAATTAACGATCCAATGAAACTAACTGTTGTGAATATTGAATTGTCAAAACGTTAATTTATAACTTCTTTTGTACAACATCTTCATTTTTATTAACTAAACCTTATCACCAGCAGTCTCTGCATCAGTAGGCCTCAACATACACAAGGGGAAAACCAAGGTCCTCAAATTCAAAACGGAGAACAGCAATCCAATCACTCTTGGTCGCGAAACTCTGGAAGATGTAGAATCCTTCACATACCTGGGAAGCATCATCCATGAACAATGCTTATCGGATGTAGGTGTAAAGGCGAGAATTGGCAAAGCAAGGGTAGCATTCGTACAATTGAATAACGTATTGAACTAGAAACAATTTTCAACCAATATCGAAGTCATAATCTTCAATACCAACGTCAAGGCAGTTCTACTGTATGGAGCTGAAACTTGGAGAACTACAACAACCATCATCAAGAAGGTACAAGTATTTATAAATAGTTTTCTACGCAAGATACTCAACATCCATCGGCCGGATGCCATCAGCAACAGCTTAATGTGGGAGAGAACAAATCAGCTTCCAGCTGAAGAGGAAATTAGGGAAAGACGATGGAAATGGATAAGACATACATTACGCAAATCATTAAACTGCATCACGAGGCAAGCCCTAACTTGGAATCCTGAAGGGAAACGGAAAAGAGGAAGGCCTAAGAACACATTACGTTGGATAATAGAAGCAGATATGAAAATGATTAATAGCAAATGGAAGGAGCTGGAAAGGATTGCCCAGGACAGGGTTGGATGGAGGATTCTGGTGAGCGGCCTATGGTCCTTCACGAGGAGTAACAGGCGTAAGTAAGTAAACCTTATCACACGGTTTGTCCTCAACATTGACCAGCCTACATTATTGTTAAAATGATAAATATACTGACCACATCTAACTGACGTTAGGATTGGTTGGGTAAAGAAAATATACTTTTTGAAAAAGAGAAAACAAATTAGGAACTAACTAATCAAACAAGAATATAATGTGAGAAGAAAAATGGGAATGAACTCGGTAGGTACAAAATATGTGAATTTATTTATTATAATACTAAAAAATATTACCACTACTATGAATACTACTATCAATTCGAAAAAATAACACATATACAGATGTATACGAAAAATGTAGAAAACCTAGTACGACACGATTTCGATAAGTAGATGCACACAAATTGAATAGATTGCGTAGGAATGAAGAGAATAAGACAACTGACTATTAAATTACACCTCTTTGTACAGCACAAAATACACCATGTATCTAAATAATATGTATATATGTACACAGAAGTTGATTAAATACTGAGAATTATTAAAGAAAAATGGAAAAAGTATGTAATAAAGATAATCACAGTAAATAGTATATATATCTTACGCTTAAAGCACAAGGATAGGATAGAGTGAGGAAAAAATAATTTAATATAAAGAATAAAGGAGAATAGTTATTATTTGTACGCACCAATGAACTTTATACTTCATAGTCAATATCAAACACACGAACGTACCAATTTATGGTATAGAAGAGGAAATCATGCAAACTATTACAAAAGAATACTGTAATTATTATAATCCTTTTTCAATTTCTGTGTGGAGGAAACATATATATATTTGGTATGTGTGTATATGTGCGTGATGAGGTAACTATTATCTAACAAAAAAAAACGAATGAGATGAATTTTTTAGAACAGAAGGACAAAAAGACAATGGTAGGGGGGTTTTGTTGATAAATGGAACGAACACTAAAATATAATAACAAAAAGAACAACGACTAGCCGGACAAAATTTTTGAGTTGGGTTACATATTAGGTTGATTTGGGTGTGGTGTTTGTATTGACATCGATTAATAGTACCATCCAAGCTTCGAGTTGTTTTTTTTCCTAAACATTCTTCACTTATCTGATATGATGATATTATTTTTTGTGAATGTCGGCAACTAATACTACTATTATTATTATTTCATTTTGAGCATTTTCATTTTTGGCATTTTCTTTGATTTTTCTTTACGTTGTTCTTTCTCCTTGAAATAGATAAAACACGAACATAAACAATAGGGAAGATTTTTTGATGCAAAAAGATTTTTAGAACAGTAATAGACATAATAATGTGGATTTTACGTACCGTAGAGTAGGGGAAACTTAAATTGCTTTTGATAAAATGAGATGAACTGAACACATTGAACACACACGTGCATAACTTTGTACTGATAACTAAATGATCCATACAATAAATACGCGAATTGTAATTGAGCAATCATTATCTTTTTGTTCTCCGAAAAAAGGAAGCGGCAATATGAAGGTGAAGACGTGATGTGAAACGATGAGAGGGATGAAGAGTTTGACTCTTGTAAACTTCCAGGGATATTTTGTTCAGTGGACATAGAAATTAGATAAACATGAGGAGTATTTTGAAAGGGATAAGAGACCAATATACCTTAGAACTGGTAAACTTTTTATGACTTCAATCTGCCTATTCATTGAATTGATCGCATAACTGTGAATCACGCTAATTTTTTACAGATTGCAAGTAAATTGCTTTGGAATGAAATACCACGATTGAGATGTCATTAAATATTATCAAACGGTACTTGAACAAAAATAAGTATGGTACATTTTTACAAATCAACATCAAGATATCCATAAGAAAGGGAGTATAATTATAAGAGTTTATCGAATGTTGAACAACCTTAGTCATCAAACAAACAGGAACTTGCAATAAATAATTAGGTACTTAAATTACAATTCCAATATCACTGGAATTTATTGTTTACCGTTAAACATCAGAACGCTAAATACTATGAAATAGTTATGCAGAATACATGTTAAATATAAGTGATATTGAAATCTATTCATAATACAAACACAGATAAGCTATTATAAACTTACCTCAAGCTTTCGAGCTTTCTCAGGATCATCCTCAGCCATTATACGCTCCTTAGCAGCTCGTAGGCGTTCACCACGACGATTTTGAGCTGCTTCCTGTCGTTGACTGTGCATTAACTTAAGATGTGAATCATGTGCACGTTGCCTATTTCGTTCAGATTTGGCCTTGCCCTAGATTAAACGTAAAATTTTTATTTATATGACGTGCAATACGTCAAAGAGACATTCTTTAAAAGATTGACCAGTTGTTTGGACTACAAATTTCTCCACTTTAAGGATTTTACAATGTCAGATTCAGAGCCATTCCTAGGAATTCTGATTCACAAAACTTAGATAACTCCAAATTAAATTAAGTCGATCAAGTGGAAAGAATCACTCTTCAATCATTATACCACGACCCATCAAGTTGTAAACATACATTTATGGTGAGCAAACACCTACATACAATCAACTACATACGAAGATTGAAGTAGTGGCTTAGTGGTTAGGGTGATTGACTTTCGGCCACTGCATATCACAGGTTCAAGACCAGTAACCAAGACGTACACCATTAGAACTCGCACTGATAGTATAGCCTCTACTCAAGCATTTAATGGATGAAGCAGGTCGATACCCTGGAATCTTTCAAGGTCACTAATATACAACAAAGGCTTCAGTTTTCTAACGTTTGCCGAAGCTATCGCTACCAGGTGTGTATTTAAAACGAAACCGTTGTTAATCGCTCTCTGTCCATAAACATGAGATCGTTACATCATGAAGGTATTTTATTTTAACTCTCTTTCAGACCAGTAATTTTATTTTAACTAAATGAGCTGTACTCATTTTATCCTTACTTATTATTAGTGTTCATCCATTACGTGATCACCATTTGTTTCTAGCTCTCTAATTTCTTTGTTACTATCGATGTTATACAATGTTCTTTGACATGGAATGTTTGCAATATTTTATTTAGTCTCCTTGCTATACAACATTGATATGTTCAAAATAACTTCCAACTAAACTCATTTCTTTAATTCCAACCATTTTTCATAATAATGATTTTGAAATATTACAGGATGTAATCAGTTGACGAAGACCTAACGAAATATCATCACATTAATGTTACTGTGCTCAAATTATTGTTCTTGATCGTTCAAAGATCGCTTTATTTCTGAGCACCATATCATAGACCGAAAAGAGCGAATTAAATTAGATATACAATCTGATTGAAAGACTTTCATATTCACTTCCAAATCATCGATCCTTTCCAAATGCATTGTTAGATGGAGTAGGTCGGAAGAATACTAGGAATGGTAAGATCGTGATATGAGATTAATTCATGAAGTCACGAAGTTGTGTTGGCGGATATAAACTATCTGGCTGGAATGCATGAAACGATTGTGACTAGTGGTTGAAAACGTAAAATGACATTGTTTTAAATCAGCTGAAATAGCGCAGACACATTTACTTATTATCTTCTTCTAGATGTTGAGCTTTAACACTCCTTCACACATACACATGCCTTTCATTCCCTCCCTTTGAAACATGTTCTCGACGTCCACTTTTATTTATTGCCATTGATATGACGATTGTTTCGAATGCTTTGTGATTCATATTGTTACCTTTATCTCTTAATTGCATAATGACAACTTAAGCTAACGAATATTTGTGCCAAACTCTAAGGTGATAATGACTAATTGACTGTGCAATCCTGTATATTTCAGAAATGAATCAATTAACGTCAAATTTGACAATGTACAACTTCAATTAATTAGACCTACTAGTCTCTTCCAAAAATATTCATATTTATACAATATAATTTGAAGAATAATATTATCTATAACAGTTATACATAAAGTTGTTGGAAACCGATGTAACCAAGTTATTCGTAATAGCAAAAAAGTAAAAATCATTAACCAACAATTATACCTCTTTACTAAGACGAAATCGCCGAACTTTTTCAATCACATAAAAAATAAAATGGAATAAGGCAGTAGCCGATTCTATTGGTTGCTGATGGTGTTGATTATGAATATTAAGATTACCATTACCATTATTATTTGATGATGTAAGTGATGTTGAGAAAGATTTTGACTTTGTTGTTGTTGGAACATCTGCATTTATTTTAAAAAGGAAAATTATCAAAATACAGTGAATAATTATCGCATACAACAAATGTATTCAGAGAGAATACATCTATAATGTTATTGTGAAAACGATCATTAAAACGGTGATAATAACTAATAGTGATTGGAATTAACTGATTACACAACACCCTTAGTCATATCTTAGTTCATATGTACACAATTAAGAAAAGTGATGTGATAGACTAGAATTACAACTTAATCTACTAGAGAATGAGACCTGTTAAACTGATATTGACCGATAGGTTACGACATTGAATCGTGTTTATTTCTCTGTTAATATTTAACACATAAGCATATTATTTTCTTTAAAAAAAAGCCCATTCTATTAAGTATCTGTTTTCTTTTCGGATAGTAGTTCGATTGGGGGGATTTACGTCAACAATTCAATCTTGTGAATAGCCATTACTCAGTCAATACTTCGTACTAATCCATATCTTCTACTGCTCGGCATTTTGCCCATTTATTTTAACAGTGGAAATCTTGTTTACTCTCACATCATATAATACATAGAATGACAGTTATGTTAACTATAAAACACCTTTTTTATAACATAGTGCATACAATTCTATTAGACCATAATAAAACTGACATTCAAGTTTCATTAAAGGATAAATATATTTGGATTTATCTAATCTAAAATAACTCTGTGACCTAATACTACTAGCACTAGTATGGCTAGACTCCATATAGTTTTTAGACAGTGATATGTCTGCGATAACACTTCGAAACAGGGATATAACAACTTCCCTAACTCCTAGCTCCGGCTACTTCCAAAAGATAAATCTTGTGAGAAGAAACAAAAAGACACCGATTCATGTTTAACTTCATTCAATTTTGTACTGATTATATTGTATGATCATTATTTAGAAAATTCGTGAAAACTAAATAAACGTCGCATGAAATTACTGGGTATTTAATATACCCAAAATAAAGTAGTTAGACTCGCATAAACTGGAAACTTAAAATCAATAAACCTCACAATCAATATTGTCACGTTTCGTAAGATTATTAGAGATTAATATTATCCCGTTGTTGATATTCAGGAGTAGATGATTGTTTCATCCTAGTATAGGACTCCTCAGCAAAGCAAGTTCACAACCTTACCGGAGATTAAATTCAGATAATGCGTGATGCTTTCAAACAAATTAGGAGGCTTAATAATTATCAGAACTTACTGACATAAAAACACAAGGTGAAGTTTGATGAAAGGTATATAGGAAACTTACATCTGAAAGCAAAAATAAGCGCTTTCTGTGTAACTGGAGGTTTTGTAGGAGTATTTGTATCTCTGTAAGGTAAGACAAACAGTATAAATCTCATTAATGTGTTTTGGATTCATTCAGACTATAAAAAACTTTAATAGTTATTTGTGGACATCCATTTAGGTTGAAAGCTGTTCATGTCATGATCAACCGAATGACAATAAGAAACAGGCGAAAGGTTTTGCCTTCTCTGGAATGAACACTCCAAGATGCCACACATAGATTGAACTCAGGAATTTTGGGTTACACAGCATGCACATTAAAACCAATAGGCTAATGGATCAGCGGTCAACGATTAACATTTTAAATTTTAATGACTTAGGGGTTTATTGCGATTATCATTACAAACCATCTGAGGTAACTATCTCTCTATTCGATCTTGGTGAACAGCAGAAAAAGGATGAAAAACTTTAATGTCCCCTACTTTCTGATTATTCCACAACTAATATCTATTCGTGATGAGAGATATCTAAACAAATTATGCACATCATACTTTCTTTGTCTCTGAATGCCCTGATACGGACGGTGTCGAGAATCCGTTCTCCCTCTCGAAATACTTTTACATACCCACGCGAATATTTTCAAATACTATCCAGGGCTATCATCAAAACAACAACAAGAATCATTTCGAAAGATTCCCATATTGTAAATTTAGAACATATGTAAACGAACAATATTGTTTTCGATTAGATCCTCATCAGATTTTACTCTAATATACATTAATATTTATATGCATATACGAAATTATTAAATTAATCAAGGTAGTTTATGAGTCAATGATAGCAACGGAAAAGATTACATAATAAGTGAAAAGTATAAATTGATAGTATGTAAAAAAACCTTCACTTGAAATTTACCTGTATAAAGTGCACACTAAATATACCATAATTCCGTGTTTAGGCGAATAGGTCTTGAAATAGTAATAAATATTTTTAGAATTTTAATACAGAACTCAGAAAGCAAAGATGGATAGTGGCTAGCAGTGGAATCCAGGACGCGCGTTCCGTCCTGTTTGGGACTCGTCAGCTGGATGTATCTGCATCTCAGAGTTGATGTTCACTCTAGGACTCGAACTCAGTACCGTTCGCTTCAAACGCCATCGCGTTATCCACTTAGCTACTGAGTCCTGATAGCCACTTGCTTGTGCGATGGGGTGAAGTTTAATTCACTTGGTATTGTTTTAGTTGAATCTTCCCACTGATTGTAAATTAAGGCAATATCGAGGCATATGCACAGTATGCACATATGCCAATAAAAGACATCAATTTCAGTCCTAAAACATCAATGGGAAGATTCAAGTAAAACAATACCAAGTGAATTCGAACTCAGAAAGTCTTATTAAGCACACAATATTCAGAGCCAATTACTACTACTATTTAATAATAACCCATGATGATAAAGTATTAAAATCAAACTTAGTTGTTTGAGTATCTTTTTAATTAAAACAACAACAAAAAATCCAAACCGGAATTGACTCTGTTGACCAGTATTTTCGTGATCCATGATGACAGTGTTGGTGAAAAATTACAAGTATATTAGCGAGAACTAATAGGAAATATATCGAGAAAAAAGAGACGAAGGGGACGAGTATGCGTGAGAAGAGATTCATGCGTAAGCAGAAGAACGGTAAATGTAATAATAATAATAATAATAATAATAATAATAATAATAATAATAATAATAATAATAATAATAATAAACATTTCTAAAGTTTATAACTGAGTTACTTGAATAAAGAAATAAATTATTAGTCAGAAACATTCAAGAAAGTATATCATGATGGGAATCGATTAGTCCTCGATATTATAACATTCACGCCTTATTAAATGTACACTTTGATCAGCAGAAAATAGAAATTTGATGTTCAATATCTATCAACAAGAAAATAAGCATTGACACTTTCAAATTTCGAACACTGTGAACTTTTAATGAACTATAACGTCTGGATCAAAGAAAATCGACTGACAAAAGATAAGCGCACAATTAATAGGAATGTATGGGATGTTACAGCCACTGATTAAACTGATACATATCAACAGAGAGGGGACTTTTCAAAAATTTCATTCAATCAGTTCCCTTTATGAATTTAAATAAAACCAGAACATAACACGTAAAACGATATATTCTATGAAGAAACCCCTTTCAAAGAGTTCCGTCCCAGCGTTATATAATCATACTTATGTGTATGTGATAAATTATAGGTCGGTAAATAATTAGATGTGTATTAGAATTTGATTATACAGTTTTAAATAAACAATCATGTGTTGAAGAAAAAGAGCTATGAAACATGTGAAATTTACAATCCAATAAAGTGCAGAGTGTAACTATGAGCATTGTCAAGTTGAAATAAAGATGTACCAAAGCTCTCAGAATGTAAAGCTGGTTAATTTGTTTTCCTCTTGGCCTTACCCAAATGACAAATAAGTTTCTAAAACTAACCAACTCAATACGCGTATTATTATTACAAAGATTATTTGTATCCAGACTTCTTGATTACCTATGACACATCTTAATTTCAACTTAAAAATGGTTCACACAATTATACTTTTCACTCAATTTTATTATAAATTTCTCATATTTCGTAAATTTCCTCCTTCAGTGAGTATTTGCTCATTTAAAATGATAGTTTTGAGCCCCATGTAACAGCTAATTACTTTCTAACAGACATGTAGTTACTCATCGACCTACATGTCTGTTAGAAAGTAATTAGCTGTTACATGGGGCTCAAAACTATCATTTTAAATGAGCAAATACTCACTGAAGGAGGAAATTTACGAAATATGAGAAATTTATAATAAAATTGAGTGAAAAGTATAATTGTGTGAACCATTTTTAAGTTGAAATTAAGATGTGTCATAGGTAATCAAGAAGTCTGGATACAAATAATCTTTGTAATAATAATACGCGTATTGAGTTGGTTAGTTTTAGAAACTTATTTGTCATTTGGGTAAGGCCAAGAGGAAAACAAATTAACCAGCTTTACATTCTGAGAGCTTTGGTACATCTTTATTTCAACTTGACAATGCTCATAGTTACACTCTGCACTTTATTGGATTGTAAATTTCACATGTTTCATAGCTCTTTTTCTTCAACACATGATTGTTTATTTAAAACTGTATAATCAAATTAACAATATAGTACTGTTTGCTTCAAATACCATCACATGTTAACAAATATAAAATAACTGCAAAAACGTTGCTTCACAGTCAGTCACGAACTACGAGAAAAACATGTGAACATACTCAATTTGCATCAACGAAAACAATAACAGTAAACATTCATCAACATGAGAATAAAAACAAAAATCTACTTGTTTTTCTTACATATAAAAATAAAAAGAACAAAACAACAATTTTATGCGTGAGTAAGAATGAGTGTATGGTCTCTTATCAGACAATACAACAAGGAACACGTGTAAACGAGAAATAATACGCTATGAGATACTAGGCAACTTCATGAAATTATAAATAGAATGCTAAAGAATTCTAAAAACATTTGGTACTAATTGGACGGTAACAAATAATAACATTATAAAAAATGTTAACAATATGGATTAATATGCAAGGAAATATATAGACGATTATGTTCGAATACGAACATGAATTCGACTGAGAAAACACTGAAATTCCGAATCGAAGGGATTCTAAGTAAGTTAGAGAATTCTTGGAAGTACGACATTCAGATTAATCAGTGATTGATAGACACATTAAATTAGACCTGGCTCCACTCGAAAAAAATCAATCTGGAGCATGTCCAACGGAACAGAACGATCAACAAATGAAGACAATGAAACCTATGAAAACAACTAATCATAAACAAAGTGACCAGCAAAAACTTACTCAACATTTGTGAAATAACCAAGAAGCTCACTTCTATATGAAATAAACATTGATGTTATTCAAAACAACAATGAAAACTCCACAATCGAAATCATTTAGCCCAAAGAACTCATCAACATCAAAAGCATCCACTTGAGCTGAAACCTCCATCATACTTTAAATGGTCAACAGAGTAAAAGTCAAAAGGATAAATAACAGAAATTCTAAATGAGATATCCAGAACTTACTCTTGGGGAGGTTTCGGTCCACTATACTGATCGGAGAAAAATAAATATTCGATTGATTCTTCAAAATCATTCAGAAATTTACAAACCTATAACGAACAATGAAAACAGTTTTTCATCACAATAAATAATTCATGAGTACTGAATCCACTGTGATCGACAAAAAAAGGTTTTATACAAAAGTATCATTATTATTCATGCACTTTGTATAATCAAACTTTATAGTATTTATATTAGTTCCGAATAATAATATGACTGAATTCACCATTGATCGTGAACAAGTTAGCTGAGTATTTAGTGTGCATGTGTGTTGGTTGAGTGTAAAAAGGATAGTAACACAAATTAATCTACGCAAACTCTGTGGCACCACAGTGAAATTAGTCTCCTTACAAACAGTCTCATGTACGATGCTGTGATATGAATAAGTGTCACTGAAAATACGTCATTATCAGTAAAAGCGGAATTCTCATTACAACTCATTATAATAATCAATATGAGGGCAAATACATTGATGTTGATAAAAAATGTACCCGAAAGGGACAATAATTACAGTAGGCGTGAAAAAAGCCCTCAGTAGCTATACATACAAGAGGGTTGATTTATAGATATAAAAACAAGCTTTAAAGATGCTAATCAGATAGAAATATCTACATGATTACTATTTGTGAACTTAACACGAAGTGATAATTATTAACTGAGATAAAATAAGATCGACTTACAAGAGGATTGAAAATTGCCGGGATAACTTCTGGAATCTCATTTAAAAACATGAAAGATTCTGGCAGGTATGAATGCCGTTGTCCACGTTTGTCTGGACAGTATACAGCTAAATCTTGATGATCTTTTGCTAATGCTTGAAGACGACGCTTACGACCAACCGCCATGACCCAACCATCCATTTCAGAATCGTCCATAATTACTTTCACTACCTGTGATAACAAAAATAATGAAAGTGTATCTAGGTAAACATATAACGAATGTATGTATTCGACTGGATCCTTTGTACGCTGTATGAAGTTAAGCTCATATTCATTTATGCCAAGTGATTTAGAGGTTAAGCATTCGCCCAAGACTGAATGTCTTGGGTTTAACTCTTGGTGGCATGACTCAGAATCGATCACAATGGCGTAGGTGTATACACTCTGTGTCTTCCCTTAAACTAAGAGATTAAAATCGCTTCATATCTTTTTTTCTACGAACTAATTCTTTCTTCCTGTACTATATCCTTATTGCAATCTTTCTTTTATATATTACCACAACTGAATTAACTACTTTTATGAATCTGGTGTTCATCTTGTTGCGTTAATGAGGTATAGCAGCTTGGACCGATGCATATATGTGCCTGGTCCTATGTTGTAGCTGACTGACTCTTGCGTACGGGGTGATGGATGTGCACTGCCGAGTCCGATACTAGAGAGAAACGGACGTCCAGAGCTTCAAGGTTTTCAATGGAGGTCTAGCTTAGATGAGTACATAATTTTGATGAAATCCAACAATCTCCACAACCCCTTATTAAAATTTTAGCCTTTGATATAATTGCTGTGAAGTGGATAACTACGCTGCTGGGCAATATCTCTGTTACTAATCACAACTTGAGATACACAATGACTTCTAATTACAAACAATTCAACGGCGTACTGTTAGATAATTATACATGTCTACTTACAATAAGGAACTTAAGTCAAATAACATCCAAGAGTCAGTACGTACCTACTTCAAAGACAACAATGAATTATAATTTAAGCAATAATAGATTGCACATTAATATCCATTAGAATACAAGTTTCAAGGTGTGGTCTCAATCACCAGTTGTGTTTATATTAAGCATTTGTTGTAATACGATATTTTGCCAACCTGATGTTATGGAGTTAAGCATCGGAAAAACAAAGAAACGATCGACTGTTCGTTTGATAATTTAGTAGTGTGGACATTAGGATTTGCTTGGTCAATAAATATAATATGTACGAAATCCCTGGATGTAATTATGATAATCTGTAAACTCAGTTTATAATTAAATAAATCTGGTGTTAAATGCTTCGAATCCACTCCATCCAACGGTCTTACATGAATTTCATTGCAAGTAACTGTCATGATTATTCGCATTTAAATTTGATGGATTCGGCTGAAACACTTTATACAAAGTTTAAGATTTTTGTTCTGACTATGAACATCTGTTGAGAATGACAAACATAGACTAGTATCAAGGGTTATAACGGTGATAAACCACAAACGATGGTGTAAGAACATCTACAGCTCTGAACTGCTTTTTAATACTTTTACGAAGGTATAGAAAGGTAGGAAGTTTACTTTCTTACCAACAAGTTGATCGATAGATGTGAGATATAATAGATCAAGCAGAGGATTTATCGTCGAAATATCAATCTGATTTAATTTTAGGTAGCATGCACCAAATGTAGTGCAGATTTCAGTGTTTTAACATTATAAATGAAGTTTAGCAGACCATTTTTAATTTAGCATAACTCACCACCCAGTGGAGAAGACGTTAGATCTGAGACCTACTGCTTGAAAACCAATTAACCTAACAGTTAATCAACCGTTAGAAAAACAAAATAACAAAAACTTACAATGCTATCATGAACCGGTCTTATCCAGTTGGCAATTGCGAAAAATAAACATTGACGCTTGACTAAACGCAATTCAATTAGCATCGCATCACAGTGTACACTTCCGGTACACCAAAGAGAATATAAATGTTCTGATTCCTTCATTAATGTCCCAGTTCCAGGTTCAGCTAGACCATCGTCACCTAGATAGTGAAGTTCAAGCATATAAATACCTCATTGAGAAAAGTTAAATTTAAAAAAATGAACGTATAATCCATAGGAGCAGCAATAAATTAATAAATTATGCTTCAATTATCCTAAGGTCCCAGCTTTTGTTACAGAAAAGGTCATAAGTGCAAAATGCTGAAGAGTCTCATGCAAGAAGGAAGTAATTATCCATTGCTCTTTGGTTTTTCAATGGTACCCTACATTACGTTAATCCGTTATTAAAATCAACAAATAATACATAAAATAGGGATTCATACTGTACTACTATCAAATAACCTACACATCACTAGCCTTAATAATATTAATTCATGCAAAAATGATGAATTACAAACTATGCAGTTAAATTCTTGAAAAAAAACCTGCAAACAATAGTTTTATCTCAAGAATTATATTTATGTATTTCACTGGTGTAAATTTAGCCATCGACAGGAAAATAAATGTAACCTAGTGTGCATAATATAAAGAATTTTTAACACGTCACACCTTTTCGCCCATATTTCAGAGGTAAACTGCTTAATATAGATGATTTTTCTAAGGAAAATTAGTGTGTAACCACCAACATTTAATGACTAACAAACTCTGGTTATTTCATTGAATTAAAAACTTACCAACTACGGCAAAATTAGTTTCTAATAATGGCTGATGGGCAGAAAACCAAGTGTTTGCCAACTGTGCATTTTTGGAACGTCCGATTACAAAATTCAACGTATATATCATTAAGGCTAGTACAAAAAGCATTTCCAAATGAAAATTGTCCCATGAACGAGTAAGATGATGTGGGACCTAGAAATATATGCAGTATGAAGATGCATGAAAAATACTTTTAATGCTGAATTAAAACAAATGTATGGTATATTTATGTATGCACGATACATATGTTAACATAATAAATACGTGAAGTGGGGTTACAAAAATTCATTTTAGATTTTATAAAATGAACGTACAACAGTTTAATATCTCTCAAAACCTTCTCCAGTTGTCTCAATACACCTATCACAACTCCTTTTTCACTACTCAAAATATCCTTGGAGGTACATACAAGTTAAGCTTTTCAGATATTCTTTTGTTTCACGTTTTGCTAGAATCATACGGGTAGATGACTTTCCAGTTCAAAAATCATCCGGACGGTAAAAGAAGGTATTAGAAAGTTAGTTAATAAATAATTTAAAGTGGATCAGTTAGCAAGGGTATCATAATTTTTTAAGCGACATGAACTCAAAGTATAATGTCTCACAGTATTCATAAGACAACCGAAGTTCATATGCATTTATAACAGGCAGTTTTGTAAATGACAGTATATATCTATACGTGTAACATTCAAAAGGATTTTAGACAATTGTCTTTATTTGACAAGCATGATCATGCCAATAATTTACAAACATTTGACCCGATTTAACAAGATAGTATAAAAATGAAATTGTGCGAAACAGAAAATCCGCTTTTAAATAAAACTTGGGGAGCAAAAAATATACTACGACTAAAAACCGTGCTATACCATTTCGTACCAATCAACAAAATCCCACTATTTAGACTAAGATGTAGAACATCACTGGTAACAGTGAAAATAAAATGGATACTTAAGACTGAGGTGGATGAAACAAAACGTGCACTGACAAGGTGATCATGTAACATTTACGACAAACTACGTGAACACATTTGGTGTTTTATGAATCTCCGAAGCAGAGAACACAAGTGAACCTCACAGAAAAGTATACTGGTTGAGGTTAGCAAAAGTGAAAACATAGAAAGCGAAAATCAGCAAATTAAAAGTAAAATTATTAAAATGAATGATTAAGAATATAAAATACCTTTGCAATTATCAGATTTCGTTTGCCATTTTTTGTTTTATCGGTATTTAGAATTGGTTGATTGGGTGACAAGCCCTCAAACTCTTCATCATCGTCAAGTCTCATGTCTTCTGACTTAAATACAAATAAAACCATTGTTGATAGTTCTTATTGAGAACAAAATACAAGTAAGCAAATGATAAATTTAAAGAATATATATTACGTAGAAGTAGTACGTTAAACTTGAAACTTCTTTTAGATAGTATTTAAGACTGGAGTCAGTATTTACAGTATCGAGAAATGCAAAATCATTCAGATATGCACGCTTTATTATTCTCGCGTCAGAGCCCAGGATTTAGTGAGAACCACAGACTAGACGATACGTGCATTTTAGGAGTCGTATATGTTACTTCAGTTTTTAAGGCTGTTCGCAGAGCAAGATAAAAAGCCACGTGAATGGTAACTTAAGTTTTGGCATCATAAGTAAATAATAGAGCTAAACACATCAAAGTACAGAATTTATTTATTTGAACACAAACATTGGTAAAAGGAGGCATCAAATAAATATGCGCCACACAGATCTCATTTGATATGTGTGAGAGTTGTGATACTTCCTGGGTGCCCAGATCAAAGCAGGTGGTTTTCTTAAAGAGCCACACCCAGAGCCTTCGACCTGAAGGTTTGATCCACAAGGCAGTGGAGCAACGTAAGGAGATGCATTCCCATTGTAGCCGTGACCAACAATTGGTTCATACACCCTTTGTTCCTTCAAGATACTGGAGCCGATGTGCACCATTCGTTTGGAATCAGGGTCTTCCAACTCCCATAGGTGAATCCTCTATATCCACCGACCCGGTTAAAGCGCCTGACATTCGCTTTTCGTCCTCTCGATTCCGTAATCAAGATCCCGCTACCAGAAGGCAGTGATTAGGACTTCCCTGGCATTGGTTGTATGTGCACGTGGCTATATGAGAACACTGCGAAAGGCAGAGTTGACTCTCCCCACTCTCGACCGTACCAGGGCATTTGGGGGCAAGTACAGAATATAATCCTGTCGCTTAAGTTAAATACTTGATTGTCAGTCGTATTGGGATGTGTATTGTGGTTTGAAAATGGGAAATCTGTCCTGAATAAACTTCAAGATCATAGAAATACTTGTCTCAAAAAAACAATGCAACTCAACAGCATCATAGGTTTGTTTACTAGGTTTAAGCTACATTTACATAATAATAATCATTATTTAAACACATAAACTTAGGTACAAAAAGGCACCAAATAGATATGCGCCACATAGATCATTCAACTTGTTTGAAGGCTAGGATACTGTCCGGGTGCCCAAACCGAAAGAGGTGGTTGTACGCACGTGGCCATGTGAGAGTATTTCGAGAGGGAGAGTTGACTCTCCCCACTCTCGGACGTACCAGGACATTTGGGAACGCACTTGTATAAGGTCATGTATAGTACCGTCATCTATGCTGACATAAAACCAGACTGGAACACATGATTTAATGCCTGTGAATTGAGTGCTTAAACCACAATCATAGCGTCAGTACCTACTTCAACCTCAGCTCCATCTTGTCGTACAAATGGGAACACAATGAGGTTGAATTTATATATTTCCAAGAGGGCAAAAAGAATTGTGTAATATCTTAAGTTGGCATCTCTAATAGGGGAAAAATATGATAGATGTTTACATTTGTTCCCAAAACACATGGAATAAACTCAAAACTTTATATTCAGTAGTCAGTAAAACGGTGCTTCAACCGCTAAGCCACAACACCGCATATCTATTACTCAGTTCCAATGAGAAGTTATTACATTATTCCTAGTACCCTAAAATTTGTGATAACGGCTAGAACCAGTAAACTAAATAGTGGAAATATTGAATGACACTCATTTCAGTGACTAGCTATGACAAACGTGACAAAATGAATGTTAATTAAATGGTTGTGCAGGTTTAAGGTTAGAACCATAAAAAAATGGTATTTTACATTCGATTCCAGTAAAATGTTGCTCATTTTACATTTACTAGGCATACCTCTTCCTCTAATTCGCTATCCTCTACGGTTGCTCCATCAGTCGGTGATTTAGTTGTATGAAAGACTGATTCGCCATCATGATCGATCCCAGTGTTTAGAGAGAAACTATTTTCTGAAATATTTTTATCGACACTCTCAGCTTTGTGTTGACGGGCTGATTGGACAGGAACAGATCCAGTGATATCAGCAGTAAAAGCTACAATGTTCAGGAAATCAGGGCATTAATAAAAAAATAATGACAATAACCTCATTATTTTGCATGAACCTTAGAAAGCCAATGTACACTATCAATCCAGTTGGGTATTTTCATCTTTTTCGTCGGTAGTTTATGAAGTCCAATGATGATGTTCATAAACCCTTAATTTCCCGGTACAAAAACAACGAAGATTTGCGTAGATACAAGTTGAGCCATTATTAATAATTAGGTGACGCAATAACCACTAAATCGAAATCCATTCCTTGCAATACAAACTTGAGAATTGTTTAGTTTATATGATACTTACTTGTCTGTACTATTTAAGGTAGCTACAGAATAATACAGGCTACGATAATTTACACTAACCTAGGTAAAGTCAAATAAATTTATCTTATGAATGAGTACCATCAACTTAATCACGAAATAATTCAAGTACAACATCCTTTATTAATTCCGCAGCCCCACTTTATTATTTTTAATTTATCGGCGATCTTTTTTAGTCAGATTAAGGATGGATACCTTCAAGAAACACTGGAATCAACACTTCAGATCCGGATGAAACAGCTCTCTAAAAGTTTCCGATTTTCATAAGAGAAATAGAAAGCAGTTAATCAATCCTAATTGTATCCATAATGTCACTGACGATAGGACGAAGCCATGTTGACAAGCGTAAACTAGCTGGTTGGAGTCCATGTAACTATCGCAACCATTGGTTGCAAATATTGAATAATACGGCTCCAGATCGCTTGTGATGGGGTAAGTGCATCCGTTCTTTTTTTCTCAGGAATTTCGAGATTCTAAATTTTCCATAACCCGTTTATTTTTATTTCACTTATTTACATTTTCTCGAATATCTTCAATGCACCCGCTCTACTGAGAACGATTCTGAGCCATGTCCAAACACTGGTTACGATAATTACTCAAACACAAATCAGGTAACCAACACCGGCGAACATGGCGCAGTCTAACTGCCAATAAATTTATAGACGGATGCCGTGTTTAGGTTGTCATTCATTTGGTATCATGACAAGTAGGCTAGCAGAGATATTCTAAAACAATTAACAAAATACTTTGCCAATTAAATCCAACATTTTTCTTGCAATTTCGATTCAATGTCTAGTGCTTGTGACTCATCACCAACAGCTTGAAGACATGGCTAATGAAAGAGCGTTGAATGAGGGAATTTCAATGTGTGGAGTCCGTTAAGTTGGTGGGGATCCTTTCGAGTCAGTTCCCTACAAAAACCAGAGATACGTACTTGTCTGCAACAAATAAAGCACTATTTTGCAACTGTTATTTTAAGGAATGTGATGGGTTGCATAATCCAGTTAACATATAATCATTACTCAGGCAGTTGCCAGTAAAGTTTACTTAAAATTATCTCTTTGAATGAAAACTGGAGTATCTACATTTTGTCCGAAAATGTGTGGGAGACGTCACTCCACAAAGACATACAAAACGTTTGGCATAACAAAAAACTGGTGGATATTAAGTGGATGTACAAATTTCCATATGGATAAAGTATAACAATGAATGTTAACTACCATAAAACTCGGTGATTAGTAAACCGTCGTCGTCTTACATCTTTCCAGTGGTTTAAAATAAGAAAATTGGGGGCAGGTATGTATGATCGAAATCGATTATTTTGACTTTAATGGCAAAATGACCGTCAAACATCTTTCATGTAACAAAATACTTTTCTGTCCTCTGGATGAGGTCAAGAATTGTTGACGGACTAAAGATAAACGGTAGCTAAAATTCCAGTCACAAAATGAATTATCATAGACTACTTGCAATTGTTATTGAACTGGTTTGCAAGTAGTCATCGAGCACTTACAGTCATCGGGATCCTCAAACTCTGCAAAATCATCATCTAAGTTAGCACCACAGACAGTGTTCAAATCACATAGAAAAGCCACAGCAATGAGCCATAAGCAATACAATGGGACATCCAACTGTGAACGAAGAAAGGCTGAAATCATATTAAACCGAAGGTCACGTCGCAAAATTAACTTGACCGCTCCCGATGTTTCCAATGCTTTCTTTATGAGGCGATGTTACCTGATTGATTTCTCCCAGCTCATGACTTTAAATGAAGCTAGTAAAAGTAGTTTGATTATTTTAGTAATATCGGACGTAATGAGTTTATTCATTCGGCTGCTACAATCAGTTTTCAGAAATAAGAATAGTAAACCAGTTGACCTGTGTTAATCCGTTTCAATTTCAGTTTATCCAAGGTTTTTGTGGTACTGATTACTGTGTACTTTACTGCCAGCTGATTACGAATTCCAAGTACAATTTGTCCATTTGTAATCATCTAATTCTACCTGCCTTAAATCTCAACATATTTAGAGATTCTTACTAAATACGTTATTTCCAATACTTCTGATTATCATAACATCCCATATCAAAAACTAGAACATCGTGTTCTCACCCGTCCATTATAGTTTTTAGACTGGAGAATCACCTTCTCTCTAAACATTTCCACTAATGAGATGAACATCACTTGTTCGTGTAGAGCGTGCAAGCCACTGACCACTCAGTCCGAAAGACGGAATCCCACACTGAGTTTATATGCTCATGCGTTTTAAAACTTTTCGCGATGGGCTTCATGACGTTAAATTTAGGAGGCTGTGAAAATGTGAGATTTTTTAACACTCATATCAATATTATAGGTACGGAATTCCAGTGCAAAGTCACCTCGCGTCTTACAGTGTAACAGGAGAAAAGGTTTGGGCATTTTTACTTCATGACTCTCACATTTCAGTCCAAGCGACTCCGAGTTACTAACTACGATTTCAACAGCTTGCATTGATGAGATACTTTTTCTAGCCATTATGTTTAATGAGCGGAACGAATAAAGAGATCGGATATACTATAACACAGAATGAGGGGGGATTAAGTGAATACTGCATTGACTTGTCACTTTTGTTCAGGCAATGTCTCAGCCATCTCAGCTAATAACCATTGGTTTAATAGAACGTTGTGGCTTTCAGTGAACATACATGTGTTATATTCATGTCCTTGTCGACGCTTATACGCCTCATATGTACTTGTGTTCATGTTTGTCACTCATTATTTTATTTATCATTATTGGTTTATTTTCCTGCCTATTTACCGCAATACACATAGTCTTATTCAATTCACGGTCACGATTGCAGCGACCTGTGAGAGGGATTTGGCGCATTCATCTGCCCCCGCTTCACTTTGATCTACTTAGATCTCATCCCAAAGTCTAAGTAAACTATTTCATGAAATGAGCCAATCAAACTTAATTCGCATTGGGCCTTCTATTGCCGTCGTCGAACCTGCGGAGTTAGCCTGGGTGTATTCAACAGAATTAAAGATTTATATTCATAGTTTATCAGCTCGTTCAAGTAGAAGTCAAATCTCGCACACTACCTTCTGTGTGAGTAAATTTTATAGTTTACTGACATTTACAAAGAAAGTGCTAGAAAGTGTTTTTGTGTGTGCCCCTTTCTGTTCTACCTTTATCCGATACCTCCTCCTTTATAGTCTGGATAAACTAGTTTGCAATCCTTAAGGAAGAAGAGAACTACATGCATTATGATCCATCGTGAAAACCGACAAAACCACTTCGAAATATATCACTATATGTGAAAATTATATTTCACATAGTCTCAACGATTGAAATTTCAGTAATTTCAACGTTCCGCACAGCAAACTCTTCTGCACTTCTTCAGGGTACGGTATACTTTTAGGTTTAATTCTGAAAGAAGTATCCAGAAAGGCTGTTTCTTGAATAAAGGGAACTTAGAGAGGGATGTGATCTAAAGAACATACGAGAAGTGCCCTTCAGTACATTATAAAAAACGATACTTGAGTCCTACGGATAAAACCTAAACAAAGAAACAAACGGGCACCATACCCAGTAGTACTGAAGTACCCTTCCAATCATCTGAAAATGGTGAGATGGGTGCTTTATAGTGTCCAATAATAAAACCTTACGTTTACGTACATCAAGGTATAAATAGCTTCTGATAGTTTTTATTATATTGGTGCGTCCTTAGTGAAAAGCGATATGTGTTACGTTCAATTTTAGCGGTTCGATATCTAACGCCATTTGGATACAGTGACTATCGTTATTGAATTATACCTATCGTCAATCCTCTTATATAATTATCGACTTAAATTGCATTGGTGAATAACGAAATTAACTAAGTCGAATACGACGATGAAATTTGAATGCGTATATTTCACACAATCGCTGACCAAACCAGACAGAGGGATGGAGCAACTAAATGAAACACAATGGAGAAGTCAAGTGAGCTAATCCACTTTAATCGAGCTGTGCCCAATATTTATAGCCAAATCGAATATGGGGGAATAGTTAACACGGTTCAAAGTGACTCGAGATTGAAAAAATTAGTCTGTCCAAAAACTATGTGGGCTCGACACAGAGCCGGCCACTACAGCATCTACTTCCACACATTATAGTCTGAGGAACGTGATTGTCAGGTAGATAACTGAGTGATAATAATAAGAAAAGTTAAAAGTTTAAAGTGCTTATCACCGTGCTTGGAGTTGCGAGCTGAATGTGCGCGACTGTTAGCATTACTATATAGTAATCATGTGGCAATTTCACCTGTTAACCACACATGTTCATCGATTTCCTCCTTAATAATCAGTCCCATAGAGTACTTTGGAGTGATCTGGGCAACTTATGTGCATATGAGCACCACGTCGTATTTTTAATCTCCAACTGTTACCAGTGGTCAGCAGGTTACTATCACAATGTCCATCCGAGAGAAATCCGGTAATCAATACAAGGGACAGCTTTAGATTCATTTATAATCCTCTCCATTCCTTTTAATACCATGAAAACAAAGAAATTGATGTCGTTTGATGCTTCAGCTCCATTATCCTTTTTATTTACGAATTCGACCATACTCTTTCTCGATAGCTGGACACGTCGCGGAATCAGCAATAAGAGAGAAATATAAATCTGTTTACTCCTTGAGAACTTTGAGTTAAGCTTTTGTTTGACTCTACAAGCTTGTGCCGTTTCCTCCATAGGATTATGTAACGACTTCTTTGATGACTTCTTTGGATTTGAAAGAACAAACTCGGGAGTTCCTACTGACTCATTTGACTTCTTCTGCATATAGTCTAATTGGTCTCGAGTTTCTAGTAAAAAGTGTGCCATATTTTAATTTGTACAGCTCTCCTTCCAGTTTTCACATCAAACGTTATCTAGCGTAAAATCAGGGTTGGTTTGAGCTGATGCTTAACATTTCGACGGGTAGAACATGATGTATCACATTCATAACCATTTGTTGAGACTAAAATGAACATAAAACCAGGCGACATACTACTTTTATCGAGCGTGAAACAAAACTTATAATCACTTCAGAAAAACTTCGATTTTCCATAACAATTTTAATATTACATCAAGGTTTAAGTGCGAACGACCGGGATGATCTGTAAGTCTACTGTCAACTCATCCTGATGCACGCTATCTTTTCTCCAACTACATCTCGCTTATGATCGATAGTTAGCTGAACTATGAGATAATCAAACAAGAACCAACGATTTCAGTATGCTAACTCTGTTGGTTGTATTTTCGAGTACTGATGTTTCACTTGTAGCTTGTTGTCTATCTTTCACTTTACAAAGAGTTTTTGCCTTTCAATATTTCTTATGGCTACAACAACGCAGAGGTCGTGACAACGATAAGGTTTAAATTGAGTGCTGCTGAATATATTTAGATACTCGGTAGCCTCCTAGACGTCGACGAAACCTAAGAGGCAAGGACAGACAAGAAAACTAACCAGCTTGTAGGCTGCCGAAATTTCGCAGTTGTTGGATGCTGGGGTACAAACATGGCTGAGCAATAAGCTCAGTAGTTTATTGTGATTTGAATTCTTTTCATTTGTAACGTACCAGTTTGTATTATGAAAAGCTGCAGAAGTAGAGCAGCTAGTCAGAAATGTACTGATGTACCCTATATGACGTTTTATATAGTTTTATCTTGATGTAAAGGAGCTAAAGTGTTGATACCACCGGTCCTGTTCAGTCGATCCAATATTCCATTTTTAATGTCAACATTTCCATATTTGTGGCTCTAACTATTGACAGTGCGGTGTCTGATACTGATATTGATATTCCATCTACGACACAATTTCGTTGTTGTACTGTTCTGCACCATTTGTAGATATAGCATGTTTGTTATTTACATAGTCCATTTTTCTGATGCGAAACGACGAGTGATTCAAATGACCTCTTGTGTTTAATCAGACTTTTTATAAGGTGATATTATAAACCCACGTTTTAAGAAATTATAATCACCCTTATTTTGACATATTACAGACCTTTTAATGTAATCCTACATAAGTGGGTTTTTGAAACTGCCAGTATCCGAGAGCGAGTAAATGTTTTTCAGTGAATCGATGCCGTTCAGAAATCTCTTCAAAAAGATCTTCAGAGTTTATTTTTCGTGTTCTAACTGGCAGTTTATTCCGAAGACAAAAAACTCTGCCTGGAGTCCCTCCGGGGGCTACTGCCGGTCCCAAGTCCAGATAAAGGAGGAGGGTTGGGCATGGGGTTAGCGTCTTCATCCCGTAGAAAACTAACTCGCTAAAAAACGCTAACCAGAAAGAATTAAGTAAGGAAGCAGTTCGGTGTATGTCAGATGTGCAGCACTGGATGGCCATATATATTTTTGTTCAGTTTTCTGTGAAGAATTGAATCCGTTCGTTAGTTTGATTCCTACCATTCTTGCTTCTGCCAATACTAAAAGCATAACACTACCCACTGTGATCCATTTCCTGTTCATTTTTGATGATACTTCGATGATCCTGGAGTCATGAGCTCCTGAACATGGCACAGGTATTCAGTGTTTGACAACGCTTTTGTCAGTAACACCTTCTAATATAACTCATACCCACCAGGAGAAATCAAAAGGCAGAATCGATGAGATCGGAAGAGTGTATTTGGCGATAACCAATATATCGGAATTATCTGATTTAATCTGGCTAGTGATTGCGGTAGATGTTGAGCACAGCTTTACCACATGTGA